CCCCAAAACCCCAAAACCCCAAAACCCCAAAACCCCGATTCTCGAATTCTAGATTGAAATCCAGATTCTAAATATCGGGTCTAACCCTCTCGGATCAGTCCAAGTGGCTTAATTCAGTCCTAAATGTCTGGTTTCAAGCTTAAAGTCAGATTAGTGACTCCAGAATTCATTAATTGCCTTGTGTCTTATTTTGAGATTTTGACGAAAATTAAAGAGATATGCTGTTAGATTATGGTTTCTTAGAATTTAGGAGCCTTATCAGCTTCTCTTCTCAAATGTTTAGTGAACTTGTTGGGATAGGTGCTACATATCTGGGTTACTAATAAACTCTGCAAATCCAAATTACGTCAAATATCCTCTACATCTAACCTATTCCATCACTTCTACTAAGACTCTCACTAACACCACCATCACAAGCTCTTCTCTATCCCCTACCAACAGTGCTAACCCCTAAATTCCCAAGAGCCCTTCTCGGTTCACCCAAGTTCCTTATCCGTTTCCCAAATTCCCAGTTAAAGCCCCTTATACCTATCAGTGGCATTCCAAGTAAAGAAGGAGTGAAGGAGTGAAGGAGCATGAAGAGGGTTATGGAGAATTGTAGTGCAGTAATTAGGTGGTGGGGTTAGAATATGGTGCAGTCTTTGGGGTCGTCAGGGTCTGAAGAGGAGTGGGCGTTTTGGGTAGTGGTTGTTGATTCCTGGTTATGTGAGGTTATGGGCTTTGAAGTATTGAATTGAACGGCTCTTTTGAATTTGTATTTTTTAAGCGTTTTCATTGGTTCTTCTTTAGGTAATTCACAGTTTTGTACGCTAATGTTTTTAAGGTTCTTCTTCATGTCTTCGGACTGGGCTAGGCCCTTGACAAGGTTTTCAAAATGTGTGTCGTTGTCCTCCCAGTCACTTAAATCTTCATGTCCTCATCCTGCCAAATTTAACAATTTCAGAGTACTTCCTTCTAGACTATCTCCAAAGTCTGGAACAGAGGCTATTTTTAGTTTTCATTTGATGAAACCAAGTTTTATCTTATTTTTGTTAATACTGATCAAAGTCTCTAGCTGCTCTTGACTCATTGAAAAATTACACAGAAACAGTTCGTCCTCAACCTTGCCACTTATATTAATCAATTCTTCCATATATTCTTCAATAGGACTTAAGTTTGATTCACAATTAAAATATAAGATGCCAACTTTATCTGGAAAATAATTTTTAAAGAAAGAATTCACAGTTTTTAAATTCTTATATACATAGCCTGAAATTTTTAGTGACTTTAAATCAGGTACTTTCTTTTTTATTTCTTTCAAAACCTTAAATCCCCTCCTCTCCAATAATTAAGAAATAACCATATATCTATATCTTTTCCTTTGAGCCTTTCTTTGAATTTATCTAAACCATTATTATTGATTCTATTACTATAATCACCAGAACCCTTCTTGTAGAGTTCTCTCAATTCTTGTTTTGAATACGTTTCAACTGGAGGTTTACTTTCTTGTTTAAAAATTTCTTTTAATCTAGCCAAAGGTTTTCAAGAGTTGTTCATAGATATAGATGCCTTTTTGGGAGATTCTTTAACTGCAGTCTTGCTTTGTGATGTGTCTATAACTTCTTGCTTAGTTTCTTCTTTGGAATAGGGAATATTTTGATTTGGTATGCCTCTAGATTGCTTTGATTTACTTATGTCTTCCTTTTGTACGCTTACAACTTGCTTTAGTTGTTTTATTTCTTGTTTTAACGCCTCGATAGTTTCTTTATATCTCCCCATATCTTGTTGTCTAATCTTATCCTTTTCCTCTAGTTGGCCCAAGAATGTTAATTTCTGGTTCTTCATGTTGTTCTTATGATTCTTTTCTTTCTCTTTCAGGTTTCTACTATTTGTATCCTTTAGTTTTTGGATGTCGTTATTTTAGGTCACGGATAGTCTTGTTTTTGGATGTGAGTTGGGATTTTAGAGTGGTTATTTCTTCATCCTTTCGCTTCTGAATATCATGTCTTTGCTCTTGAAGCTTCTTCGTAGTAATCTTCAATATATTTGCATATTTTTTATCCAGATCTTTGATGATCTCATCAATTGTCTTCTCTCTTACCCCTTCGATGCCATCAAAAGCCTCTTTCCAATTCTTTGCAGCGCTGAATTTCAAAAAGACTTTATCATTCATCAGTAAATCCTCTAGCTGCTTAGCTTCTCTGAGCAATCCCTCAAGCTTGAAGTACTGCTTCCTGCAGATACAGTCTTGCAAGCGCGAAGATATATCAGTGAGCGACTCTTGGAGGTTTAGATTGAAGCTTGAGCAGTCTGAGGCAGGGACAAGGTTACTGTAAGTTGCTAAGGATACTCCAACTTCCTTCCTACAGTAGTCAATAACCTTCAATAACATCTTGGCTGATTCCGGTGGAACTAGTCTAATAGCTTCCTCTTCAGAGTACTTCAAGTCTCGATGCAAAGAGCATAGGTATAACTTCTTCTGGGATAGATAAAACAAAGAATCAGTGGTGCAAGCTGCACTCATACAAAGTGGAAATTTCATATTGGGATTTTCCATGCAATTTTGTAATAAATATTATAAGATTTCAATATTTTTGGGTTAAATAGGGGTTTTGGGGTTTTGGGGTTTTGGGG